TGACCTCCCACAGTCTCTTAGACTACAGCCATTTATAATTATTATTAATCATGCTGATAAGATGTTAAATGCTAATAAATAAGTATTAATTTTGGAGCATGCTTCCTTGATGTGAAATATAGAGAAAGATAAATAGATTAGTAGATTTAAAGGATAAATAAAATTTTGAAGTATATAAGACAAATATAAGTGGTCCTAGAATAGAATCTTGCGTTACGACGAAGTGGTTGTTTTATTCTTCTTTTGTACAAATAACTTTTTATTATATCAAACACAATATGGTATGCTTACTTACAAAAAAATACTTACCCACAACTTTTGCATAAGGAAAGAAAAACAAATGATCAATCTGTTAAATATATATATTCAATCATTTTTTTTTATATATACACATTCAATTATGAAAATTATTCATCTGAGTTATCGCCAGCTTAAGGTCGATTTGTTACGTTCACTTCCATTTTCATCACAAAAATAGACAAAAAACGACAAATCAATGACCAACTCATGATTTTAGTACGATACAGTCTTAACATATTTTATTTATGTATAATTTATATTTTATTAATCAGCCAAAAAAACCGCCGAGGTTTTTTCGTCTTAACTACACGCCTGTTCTTAGGGTATGTTCCTATATTAACAGACTAACCAGAATTTTTTGACAGCGATTGCTGAAAAACGAATGTGTAGGTTACCAACAAATTTGTTTACATTCGGACCACGGCCGAGAGTTACGTCACTTTTGTGACAGATTGACATTCGACTTAATGGTAACCATAAAAATATACGGATTAGGGTTTTGACGTTTGAGCCAGGTAACCGCGTCTCTAAATTAACTGCTTTTTCTGGAATGTCAAACAGACCGGTTAGTTTTGGGCCGAGTAACAGGTATTTCGGTTAATAACGAACCATACCCTTTATAAATGATAGCTGTCACATGTCACATCATCTGTCATCTCTGCCAGAAGCGTCAGTCAAATGTCAAAATTTAACTTTAGAGATGAAGTTGGTATGTACAAATTAAACTGGATATTGGACCCTTTTATAGCGGTAAATCAATTTCTGTTTATATTATAACTGATAAAAGAAGCTGAAATTGTATTTTAATAAAACAATAGATTGACATTTTAAAACATCATAATCAATCAAATACCATTTAACGTGTTTAATCCTAGTTTTCCATTACAAACACAATCAATTTATATAATTTCCTATTTTTTTAAAATATGCGTTCATTAATATTTGATTGAATTAAAAATGCGAGTTATAAAAATTATTCTATAAAATATAATGCATTTTGCAAAAGTTTTTGCAACAAATATACCACAATAATATACATACAAATAACATTGAAATATAAATGTACTTACATTGATGAAAATTGCATAGAGAAAACTACCAAAATTATATAGCTCGAGAAAATTAGTTAGTAATTGGAGGAGCCAAAATTGGATAAAATATTGCGGAAAAAATGAAAAACGAACATTTAATAATAATGCGGCAAAATTTTAGAAAAAGAAAATTTAATAGAGCGAAAACAAATTACTATAAAATTGAATTTTAAAAAAATATAGTACAGGGCAATTTAAGATAAAAAAACGATACTTTTAGTGCAAGAAAATATTTAAAAAAAAAATAATTGAGTGGATAAAAAAGTGTAAATATAATAAATTGTAGAAATGCAAATAAATAGTGAAAGAATTCTTTTAGTTTGAGAAGTACTCATTTGCGATTTTAGTCCTGATATGATGTAAAATTAAAGATATAACCCTTTGGGATTATCCCGATAAAGATTTATTATTCTTCTTCGAAAAAACAGTACAGTACAATTTGAGACAAAAACTATAGTGCAAAAAAATATTTCTAAAAAAAAATTGTGTAGTATCAAATAAAAAATATAAAACGAAAATAAATGCAGAAAAATTGTGCGGGAATTTTTAGTAGTTTCAGACATACTCGTTTACGATTATAGTTCTGCTATGTAAAATTAAAAAAAAAATAGTGCAGTTATTTACGACTAATAATGATAGTCCGAGAAAATATTATGAAAGGGGGAATATATACATATATAAAAAAACACTGGATTTGAACAGCGAAAAATAGTTCAGGAAAATTTGGATAAATACAAAGCTAAAATGCGAAAAACGTATATTAAATTTTATCCACGAAAATTTTATATAAAAAAAATTTAAATTGTGCAGGAAATTTGATGAGGAAAATGTAAAACCAAAGTTTGATATAAGGATTTACTAGTGTAGATCAATATATTCCAAGGAAATTATATTATGTTAAAGTAGAAAACGTTAAAAAGACAATTTTGTTCCAAATATAAAAGCTGGTTACTAAAATTGCATAGAGAAAAACATACCAAAATTATTTAGTCCATGAAAATTAATTAAAAATTGGAAAAACCAAAAATTTATTAAATTAAATTTTAGAAAAAAACAATTTAATAGAGCAGAAAAAATACTATAAAACGGAATAAAATCGAAAAATATAGCACAGCACAATTATAAAAATGTATAGTCCAAGAAAATGTTTACATAAAATTATCAAAATAGTACAGAAAATTTGATGAGAAAAATGGAAAACCAAAGTGTGTGGATGTAAGATTTTTTACTAGTATTTATAGACCAATATAGTCCAAAGAAATTAAATATAAAATTGGAAAATAAATTTGTTTCAAGTTTAACAGTATGGTATTACTGAGCAAAAAATTTTTCACATTGAACAACACCACATTTTACTAATAATCACAATACTCATTTTTAGCGCAATTTTATGTATCAAAAATGGTTCAAATTGAACTTTTAAAGCCCAAAAATCACATAAAATATATATCGAAAACCACATTTGCACAAACACTATACGACTAGACTTAGACGAAATTAAAATAATATAGTAAAAATAATAATAAAATATACACAACAGGGTCCTATGAATAAACATCTATTAAGTATAATATTTATATGACATTCCGATATTATTATGCCACGAAATTATTTTTTTTAAAGTCAGGGCTTATCTCCAAACAAGATTAAAAAAAATATCCCGTCAGAAAACCCCAAGCGAGCCATTTATGCGTTATACAACTCATTTTTAGAACTGCTTTTATGTTGAGAGGTAAATAATTTATATGGAATTCCACGTACAAATCAGACCGGAATTATTTAGGAATTTCGTCAGAAGTTGCGAAATTCTTTAGGAATTACTTCTAAATCCCAGAATTTCCTCAAAGTTTTGTAATTCTTTCTGAATTTCGTAGGAAGTCCCAGAATTTTTTAGGAATTTAATAGACATTCCGGCAATTCTTGGGTAGTCCTAGAATTCCTTGGAAGTCATGAAATTCCCTCGGAAGTTCCGGAATTCTTTAGTAATTCCTGCGAAGTCCCAGAATTTCCTTGAAAGTTCCTTAATTCTTTCTGAATTGCTAAATATTTTATTGGAAGTTCCAGAACTCCTTAAAACGCCCTATAATTCCTAGGAAGTCACGAAATTCTTTAGAAATTCAATTAAGTAGCGGAATTCGCTGAAAAGTTCCATAATTCTTTTTGATTTTTTTTAGGAAGTTCGGGAATTCTTTAAGGAACTATTCAAAGTTACGAAACCCCTTGTAAGCTCTAGAATTCCCCCAGTAAGGCCCACAATTCCCTAGAAAGTCCCAGAATTCCCTAGAAAGTCCCTGAATACTTTAAGAATTTTTTTTAAGTTTTGGAATTACCTAGGAAGTCTTAGAATTCCCCAATATATTCCGGAATTCTTTAGAAATTCCTTCGAAGTTCCGCAGTCTCAAAATTCGATCGGAAGTCTCGGAATTTCCTAGGAAGTTCCCTAACTTTTTCTGAATTTTTTAGGGTAACCCAAAATTATTTGGGATTTTGTTCGAAGTTCCGGTACTCCCTAGAAAGCCTGAAAATTTCATGAAAAGTCGCAGAATTCCGTAGGAAGTTCCGTAATACTTCAGGAACTCCTTCGAAGTTGCCTGGGGAGTCCCAAAATTCATTTGGAAGTCCAAGAATTATTGTGGAATTTCTTCTAAAATCCCAGAATTCCTACTAAAATCCTTCAGAAGTCTCGTGATTTGGAATTCCTGTGTAGACAGTTTCTTTAATAAATTTACCCCTCGATTTTTACCAATTTGTATAACATATGGAGCTTATTCTTTTATCGGATGAAATAGCTCAATTTTTACATTTATTAGCGATATTGCTCGGCTTAAGCCGTATTATCGGAAAAAGGCAAAAAAAAAACACACACACAACGAAAAACGTTATATAAAATACATCTATGTACGAGAAAGATAAATTGCGAGATCAAATCTCCGATATATAAGATCAAACCAGTCAAAAAAAAAATTAACAAAAAAATTAGAAGCGATATCGAGAACTTCGGAAATTTCAGTTCTAGCGTTTTTTTGCAAAAAAAATTCAAGTAGTAGAGGAGAATGTGGGTCCAAAATGAGCAGGTCGTTAATTTCAAACTTCCCCTACACTAACCGTAGATTTTTATAATATACAGAAAGGCTGCAAAAATATTTTGAGTACTCCACTTCTACCTCAAGTAATAAAAAATTCAAATTCTAATTCTAAAAAATAGTTCAAGGCTCTTTGTAGGTTATTCCAAGAAAATTAAAGATATTCCAGCAAAAATGAAGGCTATTCTAAAAGTTGAAAGTCATTTTAAAAAAGTCTAGCCTATTTAAAAGAAATAACATTGAATTGGTCAACTCAAATTCTAAAAAGTATGGTTTAGTCAGGCAGTCGTGCAGATCAGATACAAAAAGGGTGGGGTGACGGAGGGTGGGGAAACTACTCATTTTGCACCCTTATCTACTCAAGCAGAAAAAGCACCAAAAATGCCAATTTGTTACAAAAAATTTCTATTTTTCATATACGACAAGCACAGCACACCATTCTCCCTTGGATTCTTTCGATACAAAGTGCACGCGCCCCACATTACACACCACGTCACAATATGAAACTTTTTCGGTAGCGGCCGGATCATTCTGTCATTTGAAAGAACTTTGCGATCACTTCCTTGACGGGCTTCAATTCCGAATCGTGCTCGATGGGTTGGATCTTTTCTCTGAGGTTCTTCCATTCGCGTTTCTTGTACATGTAGTGGATCATATTGGTCGAATCGACCAGCTTGGTATAGATGTTGATGAGGCCGCGGTAGTCGTACTCGAGTCCGCTGTACGCTTCGCCGAACAGCTTGAGATTGATGTTGATCGAACGCAGGTACAACTGCTCGGCGTCTTTGTACCGCTTCATGTGGTAGTTGTAAAGAGACGCTAAGTGTCCCACGCTGAGCCCCACCTAGAAAAATTAAATTTTAAAATTGTTACAATTAAAGACAATATTAAAACAGAAAAATATGGCTCACGAAATTGAAAATATTTTGTTGAATCTTGAATTAATTAAGAAAGCAAAGGGACTGAAAAAAAATGTAATTACTACCAGAATAACTTTTAAATATTATGTTAACTGTTAAATTAAATATTTTGTTGAATCTTGGATTAATTAGGAAATCAAAGGGAGTGAAAAATATGTAGTTAATACTACAATAACTTTAAAATATTATGTTAACTTTTTTGAACACATTTACAAATAAGTCTATTTAGTACAATAAAGTAGGCAGTATATCTTAAAACATGTAACGCGCCCTCCCTGTACAATAGTTTACTACATCGTTATCATCGAGATCAAAAGGGTAAGCATCTTGTGAATGTCAAGGTGCGATCTGTTTAAAATTTAAATGTTTTGATTTGTTTTGTGCTGTGTTCAATTTGCGGGAGTGAAAATTTGTGTTTACGCTGTATTTTGATAAGATAAATAAACCATCAAAAGGCTGTCTACATTTCTCACAACTACCCACGACCCATCGACGAATTTGGAGACTACAAACAAAAGGAGAATATTTTGTTGAATCTTGGAATAATTAAAAAAGTAAACGAAGTGAAAAAATCTGTAGTTAATACTAGAATAACTTTGAATTGTTTAGCAGAATGCAACAGACAGTATATCATAAAAAAAAAGAATATAACAGATGAAATTGAAAATATTTTGTTAAATCGAGAATTAATTTAACCCTTTAACGCGCAAAATTATTTATCGAATTGATTTCAACGTAACGTTAGTCAGGGTGCTTGGGGGTACCTAAGGAACCATTTCTATGACATTTTTTGGTCATATGCTATGTCACTATGTTTATACCTACCGGTAAACCATTTTACCAGAGAGCATTTAGCATAAAATATGTTTTAAATGTTCCCTGGTAAGAACGGTATACCACTTATATTTTTTATGTTTTTATAGGGACTTTTCATTCTTTTGGAAGTATATTTCAATCCAAGAAATACATATTATTTCCAAAATAAGCTCAGGTAAATGGGAGGTATGATACATTACTAAGCATTTTACAAAATAATAATTATTGTTGATGGAAAGGTACAAAAAAGTCTATACATAATGCAGCTTGACAATCAATACACATGACGTTACTTCTTTTTTGAATTCCTCTTTTAGAACATTGCTGACATCGCCGCATTGTTGCTTTCTGGGAAAATGATCACCGTTTCCAAACAAGCCTACAAGTTGTGGAGGTCCAGGCTTCTTCCTTGCTGTGAAGTTTCCGATAAGTTGATCAGCAAGTTTGCTCCGAAATTAAAAATGAGTCATTGGTTTTTCACGCGGATTTGTAGATTTCAACGTTTCCTTGTAGAGTATGTAGGAATTCACGATACCGGCATCAACGAAGTAATGGAATAGTTTCATCCACCATCTCCTGCTTTTCCAACCTACGCAATAAGCAGCCATCCTCTGATCAAATCTGTCGACACCTCCCATAAACATATTATACTCCACAATTGATTTTGGACAGGCTATGCTTTTCCTTTCCCCCACTCTGTTTGTCGGAAGAACCTGTCCAGTATCAGCCCCATTATGTAAGTTGCTGCATACTATCACAGCCTTTTTTCCACGATCTTTCCATTTCGAAATGGATATTTCATTACAGGTAGCAAAGTCATATTGTCCAACGGTCATTTTTTGTCTTCTAATAATTTATGTTTGGGAAAATTCGTATGTTATGAAAATTTTGACTTCTTGACCAGTACTTTCGCATTTGAGGCAAAGAGTTGAAACCCATTATAACTAAGACTCCCATAAAGGCTTTGAGCTCTTCCACCGATAAATCTAGCTTTTTGTTGCTTTGTGTTGTATACAAATTATATTGTTCAGCAATTTTGTCCAAAGCGCAAAATCATCGTTCGCTGTTTCATCAACAAATTCTTGCTCTTCCTCGCTGTCGCTTTTATCTAATGCCGGCTGGAGCAGTCGTGGTTCGTCAGGCTTATACGTTTTATCTGCAACGGAATCATCAGAATCATAATCAATGAAATCTTCTTTTGACGTAGATGGGACATCTGGGGAAAATATCATTTTTCTTTTCCTGGTTCTTAGTTCGGGTGTTGACAGCCTGATGAAGAAGGTGTGGCAGAACCATGACATCCTCTGGTGGTACTTGGAGTTACAGGTTCATTAGAAAATGAATCTTCTGCATCTGAGTCGCTGTTTATGTCTGAATTTTCTGCATGATCTTTCGTAATTTCTGATAGAGCCTCTGCGAGCTCAGCATCAGTAAGTGCTTTTTTCCAGACAAATCCGCGTTCCATTCTCAGACTGAGATAATAAAAATAGTATCAAAGTACAAAATAAATTAAAGTTGTACCTAACTGTATTTCTTTGGATGAGTAAAAATAATCGTCAATCTATTAGATGTACCCCCATATAAAGAGGTAGGTACTACCAGTACCTGTGGCGGTACCACTTTTTATCGAAGTACTACCTGTATATACCAAAAAAATACAGGTCGTGTTTATCATATTTCCTAAACATCTATTTATTTTTATATTATATACTCCCCCAAGAGACCGACCGCAATATTTGTTGAAAAAAAAAATTCCCCATATTTGGTGTAATAATAATAATAATAATAATAATGTTTATTCATAAATAATGCAATTAAATTAAATACAATATAATATTTGTTATGAATAAAGAAAAAAATATGCTAAGTGTTAAACACTTGTGCACATACTTTCGCAAATATTTTCCGAGCGCCCTATCCGATCGATCATAAAACGTTTGAAACTTAGTGCTATATACCTAGGAAGTAAATATTTGTTATGCTGCCCTCAAAAAAAAAAAAATGAGAAAACGTGCAAATTAGTTTCATGAGTTTGAGCTATTTTTAACCTCAAAAATTACTTGATTTCTGACACAACGAAATAAGGGGTTAAAAATAAAATAAATCGAAATCGAACTGTTTTACGGGGTACAATATATCTCCCTAATTGAAACTTACCTATTAGATTCAATTGATTATCACGAAAAACACTTTATTTCATCAAAACTGTTGCGCCACTACATCAACAACAAAATTTTTGAGCCGGAATGTTCAAATGGTATGAGTGTTATACCACTCGAAAGAAATTTCCCGCCAAAAGTAGCATACACCCTTCTTCGCGACCTTGGGTAGCATGGAGATGTTGTAAAAGGTTGCTACCGATCGATCCGAACGATTTATGATATCATCAGAGTAAGGATTTGCCAAGCGCATGCCTGAATGATGCTGGTATATGTGTAAAACCAGAGAGCGTTAAAGGGTTAAAAAGTAAAGAAAATGAAAAAGTATGTAGTTAATATCAGAATAGTTTTTAAAGATTTGTGTTAACCGTTTGGACACATTGACAAACAAGGCTGTTTAGCAAAACAAAGGATATACAGTACATCTTAAAACAGAAGAAGAATATGACAGCCGAAATTTAAAATTTATTTTGTTGAAGCAAAGGGAGTGAAAATATTTGTAATTAATACTAGAACACATTTTAAAAATTATATTAATTGTTTACACATTTACAAACAAGACTTTGGCAGAATTTGTTCAGATAAATATTAAGTTGATTCAATGACCTAGCATAAAATCGTTATAAGACCCTACAATGATAAACTCTATTTGGTACCGGAATCTTGCAATACCTTACCTTAGAGCCATTGCAGCTTAGCAGTGGTCCCAACTGGATTTAACTAAAGTTTTGGGACAACTAACATGTTTCTTTTTTATATAAAAGAAACAACTAAATAATTGTGTATAAAAATAAAATATAATAAAAATTATTATTAATATACTTTGTAATGACACGTGTTTATGCGTTTGAGTTATAGGGACAATTTCGGTGCCAGATTGTAAAGAATGTCGAGTATAAAATACGAATTTTTAGATTTTCCGGAAAATTCGTCAGGAAAGTAGGAACATTTTGGAAACAAATTCATGTCATCAATAGACGATTCTCGTCGAGCCGGATAATTCTTATAAGGTTTTTCGCTATCTCCTCTTTAAAGCAAAGTTTTACCCGGAAAAGCGTTCGACGCAAATTTTCCTAAGAAAGATTTCGGGAAGAATGTCGAGTAGTAAAAGCGATTTTTTTAGTTTTTCCAGAAAATTCTTTAGAAAAGTCGGAAAATTTGGAAAACAATTGTTTTTTCATTTTCATCAAAGGAAAGGGAATTTTCCAATATAGATAAATCAGATGTCAAAAAACAAGTTGGTCCTACAAATTGTCAGAAAAACACTTTCCCGAAGGAAAATTAAAAATTATCCAACATGATTCGCGAGAAAAAATTTCAATGTTTTAACAGACAGAGAGACGGACAGGCAACACGTGTCTAGGTTCTTTTTATAAAACTGATCAATTTGTATTAATAATTGTAATTTTAATATTCTAATATTTTTCTAGTTTAGTCTTTATATTAATACGTCATTGGAATATTGGTATCAAGTATTAAGTCATTTTAAAAAACCGACTTCAAAATCGTGCAGATGCCGTCACCACATCTTAACCAAATTTATATGGAACCACCCCTCAAGTACCCCCTTACTAACAAAAAAAGAATCATAGAAATCGGACATTATCGCTAAACATACATTAAAAATGAAGAGTTTAAGGATTTTATCATGGACCCAATTATTAGATTTTGACCAAATTAATATGGGACCACCCTTTCTAACAAAGAAATTGAAATCGGACACCGTGTTAAAGAATTATCGCTGAACATACATAAAACATATATTATGACAAATTGAGAATCTCCTCCTTTTTAACCGACTTCAAAAAAGAAGGAGGTTCTCAATTCGTCGCGATATTTTTTTTAGTTAAAAATAACCAGGTCAGACCTTAGATTTTCTTATGAACAGTTACATTATTAAAAAAGGGGACAAAATGCGCTTATATCGATTACTCACCTCGTAATCGTTATCTCCCAACAACTCCTCCTTGATGGCGATGGCCTTCAGGTGCATCTTCTCGGCGTCATCGTACCGCTTCATGCTCTGAAACAATCGGCCTAAGTTACCGTAGTGTTTGGCCGTTTGGACGTTCTTCTCGCCAAACGCCTTGTATGACAACATAAGCGCCGTTTTGTGTAACGTATGCGCCTCGTCGAAGTATTGGGATTGCAGCGAGTAGTTGTTTCGTTCGTCCAGAGCGATTTCTTCCAGAATGAGAGCTTTAACACGTTTCACGGACGCCAAAAGGAGATGGTCTTCGGGCAGGATACGTTCCATGATACGCACCGAACGTTCGACGTTTTCCCTACGGAAGTAACAGCGTTATGGTTTATTTTTACTAGAAGGAGCGAATTGAAAAGTCGTATTTATATAGGGAACAGGTGCTAAAAGTTACTAAAAGGTTACTAAAAAGTTACTAAAAGTTACTAAAAGTTACTAAAAGTTACTAAAAGTTACTAAAAGTTACTAAAAGTTACTAAAAGTTACTAAAAGTTACTAAAAGTTACTAAAAGTTACTAAAAGTTACTAAAAGTTACTAAAAGTTACTAAAAGTTACTAAAAGTTACTAAAAGTTACTAAAAGTTACTAAAAGTTACTAAAAGTTACTAAAAGTTACTAAAAGTTACTAAAAGTTACTAAAAGTTACTAAAAGTTACTAAAAGTTACTAAAAGTTACTAAAAGTTACTAAAAGTTACTAAAAGTTACTAAAAGTTACTAACAGTTACTAAAAGTTACTAAAAGTTACTAAAAGTTACTAAAAAAATATGCTAAACAGATTATTAAAAAAGTTACTAGACATAATTTTAGTGGTAAATTTAAATTTGAGTTTTGTATCATTTGAAACAAAACATTTTAAAACCTTGTTATATATGTATTGAAGTCAAAGTTTTATATAACCCACGAATAAAGATGACAATACAAAATTGTGCACATGAACTTTTTTATTCATAAGTGTAGATCTTTTAATTTTTCGCTACTTCACCTCGTGTCTCGGTATAATAAAATTTTATTCATACACATAAAAGTATGAAGCAAAATAAACCAATAGATAATCAACAAACAACTCTTTCTGCAAAATTGCAACTTGTTGCAGTTATAAAGTACGTAATAAATAGTAATATAAAATAATTTCTTATTACAAAAAATTCCACCTGTAAAACGAAATTTTAAAACTGTTAAAATTAAAGATAGCTAAGAAAGCAAAGGGAGTGAAACAATCCGTAGTTTAAAAAAGAATAAACCTCTAAACATTAAATTAACTGCTTAACAAGACTGTTTAGCAGAAGAGACAGAAGAAGAAGATTAATGACGAAATTAAAAATATTTTATTGAATCTTGGATTAATTAAAAAAAAAAAAAAGGAAAGGGAATTAAAAAAGTTATAGTTAATATTAGAATACCTTTTAAAGAGTATGTTACCTGTTAACATTTACAAACAAGGTTGTTTAGCAGAATAAAGAAGATAGCATATCTTAAAACAGAAGAATATGACTGGTGGCAATTAAGCTCAAGTATGTTTATTTTTTAAGTAAATAGACTTGAGAGAGCTTGTTATGTTTTGAAGAAGTGAATTGAATATTTTTGAAGCGCGAGGAAGGAAGGGAGGGAGAGGAAAGAAGGGTGAGGGATAATTTGTGTAAAATAATAAAAAGTGTAAAAGCTATTTTCGACTCTTTAATTCGATTTTTCGAAAGCTTACCTCGCTTCGTAGAACCTGCCCGAACTGTACTCGTACACGTACAAGGCGTACGCCAAGTCCTCGTGTCCGAGCGCCACCCTGATATTGTTCTTTTGGAACACCTCCTTCCTGATGGCCAACGCCTTTTCGTACACCTTGACGCTCTCCTGGATCGAATCGAAATTCAACAGATAGAATCCGTAATCCAACAACGTGTCCGAGAAGTGCGGATGACCGTCCATTTTGTACATTTCGGACGCCATATTGACGGCTTGCGAGATCAATAAACCAGCAGGGGTGAATTTTCGTTTCACCACACACGATTTCGAAGCTTGGCGTAAAACTTCGATTATTATCCTAGTAAAAGAAATAAGTAGATGGTAAATGGGAGCGCAAAATGAGACGGTCAATGAACCCAAACGGAAAAAATTCTTACCTTGGTGGTAAATCCTCAGTGACCAGCCTTAGAGCTTTTATCGCCCAAGAATAAGCCTAAAAATACAAATACATATTAAAAACAGATATTTGAGAAGCTATTTCAGATAATTACCTCATCGTATTCGCTCCTCACGAAGTATAAGAACGAGAAATTTGAATAAAGCCCAGCCAGATTCGGTAAAGCCCCTAGAGCTTCTAATTCCCTGACTACTTCTTCGGCAGATTCAAACGTTTCAGTGGCGTTTTCGAAATCGCAATAAATGGCTTCGGCGTAAATGCGTCTAAAAAGGATTACACGCACTTTTATTTATTTTTTACACAAATAACATGCATGTACATATTATAACTGGTTAATATTTGAACATTCCTCGAATGCAGAAGATTACTATTAAAAAAATACATATTAATAAAAGTTTTAAGTTTTGAAAATAGACTTTAAAATGGAATTTGTCTGAAGTGGGGTGTAGTCGATTTTCAATTGCTAATGCCGAATCGAAAGTACATATAGGAAAGTCAGAAAAAGCTAGGTACACATCATATTCTGGACCTATTGTTTTAAACGCCATTTTGGATCATGAATGACAGTCGTACTCATCATTTAGGTGTCTGAATATATTTGCGTAAAATCCAAAATAACTAATTTTCTTTAATAAATAGCAGTCAGGTAACTTCACAAACCATTTGCGCAACGATTAATTGCCCTTAAAAATTATATTTTAGAAAATGTCATCTAAAACACCCGGTCCAGAATACGGTAATGTTTACCCAACTTTGCTGACTCTCCTATATGTACTTCATTTCATTCTTTCGGTTAAACAAATTAGTACTAAATTTTTAAGGAAATCCAGTACAGGGACAGAAGTAATAAGAGTGTGCAAATTTTACCCCACCACAGACAAATTTAGCTCCGCCGACTGTACACTACTGCCATATTAAGGTAGGTTAGTTAGAAATTATTTATTTAATTTAAATAGGTCATTGGGCCGAGTTTAGTTCAATGTCAACAGCTGCCTAGTGGGTCTGTTATTGACAATGTTGCCGAAGCATTTTGCGTTTTGATCAAAACAATTATCGTAGTATCAATACTTTTTATTTTTAATATTATTCTTACTTATTTTCGTTAGAAAACGGTTAAAGTGTTTTATTTTTACTTTCATAGTAAGAAAAAGTATGGGAATATTTTTCAAAGGATCTTCACATGCTCTGGGTTCTCTGAATCAATTTTTATCATTTTCGCAATATCTGTGTATATCCACGATAACTAAAAAATAAGCTTTAATCCATTCTTCAGTGAGCTGATTATATTTTGAGTATTTTTTTACTTTAAGGTATATTTGTTATGATTTAGATGAATATTCTTTTAATAAAAGTTGTTTGTGATATCATTCTCTATCATTTTTGTCATTCGAGGACAAGTGTAAAATTTTAATATATTTCAGTATTTTCCTTGGCAATGAAGATATGAGAAAATGTTTCGAATAAAATGTATATGGAAAATGTTTATCTTTAATTCATATTCTAAACAGTTTTTGGTTATATATTACATAATTTTACAGGAAAGTAATGTGTTGGACACATCATATATTTTTTCATATTCCTTTAGAGTGTTCATTGTTCATGGGAAATATAGGGTGGTAAATTTATATGCGTTTTGATTCTTTTAAGACGCAGAAAAATAGAAAAATTGTCAAAAAAAGGATATATTCCAGTATTTCAAAAACTTCCTTCGACTATCAATTTGAGTATAAATTTCCTGCACTAATAAAATTTAAATTGTATTCAAATTTTTTGTACCGCAATTTGGAGTTTATTTTCTTGCACTATTTTTTGTATGTCTACAAATATAATAAAATTTTCCCGTACTATTAAACTGCCATTTCTAAGATTAGAAATTTTAATTTGAGTTAAATTTTTGAGTACTATTAAAACGTCATTTTCTATTTTCATCAGACATTTTCTTGCCACATTTTTTTATTTTTCGCTAATTTCAGTGGACTGTATTTTTAACTTATAATTTTTCTGCACTATTAAACTTTCACCTTTCAAAAATTGTATTTGGAATCTAATGTTAAATATGGATTTTTGCTATTTTAAAGATCTAAAAAATGTACCTAGATGTCTTGATATTTAATGATTTATTTTTTTGATTGAAACGAACATAGTGAATCCTTGGTATAAAAATTGTATTTGGAATTTCGTGTTAAATATTTATTTTTGCTATTTTAATACAGTAATGTTTATTCGTGGAGTCGAGTAATTTGAAAGACCTTAAAAATATATTTAGAAGTCTTGTTGTTTAATGATATATAATTTTTTGAATGATACTAATGTACTGAATCATCGCAAAAAAATTGTTTAAAATTTTGTGTTAAATATTGGTTTTTGTTATTTTGGTACAGTAATAGTCCAGGATCCGTAAAGAAGGTCGACCTTCACCCATCTATTTAATGGATAAAAGTTTTTTTTATTAAATAAAATATGTTTTTAAATATACCGCAAATGGGTTGCCTAAGGAAAGTATAGGAATCATGATAAAAGTTACTTATGATGCCATTCTCTGTTATTTTGTCCCTTTACATAATTTTCCTAAAATGGACCTAATTCGAGATATTTGAGGAAAACTGCAAATTTCGAATTTTGAAGACAACCCAAAAACGGATAAAGCGAAAAAAACCAAATTTTAAACTTAAGCTTTAATCTATCCTGCGGTATGCTGATTAAAGTTTAGGCATTGTCGAAGCATCTGGGGAATACTTTACAGGGTGTCGTTTTTTTTTTATTTTAAGAAAATAAATAGTCTGGACCGTATTTTCTTAGGCAAACCTTTTGCGCTATATTTATAAAAATATTTTATTTAATAAAAAGAAACTTTCATCCATTAAACAGATGGGTGAAGGTCGACCTTACTTCGGATCTTAGACTATAATATTTATTCGCGGAAACACATAACTTTAAAGACCTAAAAAATTGATTTAGGGGTCTTGCTATTTAATGATTTATTATTTTTTTGGTGTTAAATATTCGGTTTTCTATTTTAATAGAATGTTTATCTGCAGAAAAGGGGGCGTCCATTAATTACGTGAGGTATTTTTGAGGATTTTTTGACTCCCCCTCCCCCCCTGGCGAGATTTGGTAAGATTTTCCTTAACTCCCTCCCCCCCTTCCCTAATCTCACGTGAGATTTTTCAAAATTCGTGTTTTGGGTGTAAATGTGTTGGATTATTAAAAAAAACAGTAGAGGTGTGTAATGTGACACTTCCCAACCTTCAATGACGTTAGTAATGACAACATTACATATATGGTTGTAAATAAACATAATTATAAGATTTTTCCATATTTTATTCTAGAATTTAACTTTACTTTCACGCAATTTTACACCGTTTTCTACTAGAAAAAAAATTACGTGAGATTTACGAAAACCCCCCTCCCCCCTAAGTGAGATTTAGAAAGATTTAGTTTTATCCCCTCCCCCCCTTGAACACCTCACGTAATTAATGGACGCCCCCAAAGCGCAAATTTAAAAGCTTAAAAGATATATTTAGAAATACCTATTGCTATTTAATAATTTTTAATATTTTTGATTGATACTTATGTACTGAATCATTCGTAGTTGAAATTGTATTTGAAATTTCTTGCTAAATAATGTTTTTTGTTATTTTGATACAGTAAAGTTTATTTGTGGAGACACATAACTTTGAAGACCTAAAATAAATTTAGAGGTCTTGCTTTTTATTGACTTATTATTTTTTTGATTGATACTACTCTACTGAATCATTCATACTAAAAAGTCGAGAGGCGAATCACTCTTTGTAAAAATGTACATGTATCATAAAAAGTTTAATTGGCATTTCTTGGTAAATATTGATTTTTGCTATTTTGATAGAATATTTATTCGTAGAAACACTTGACTTTAAAGACCTAAAAACTATAATTAGAGGTCTTACTATTTTATATTTTATTTTTTTATTGATAGTGGTGCACCTACTGAATCTTGTGCTAAATGTGTTCTTTTAGCGCCTCTTTGTCTGTTTGACGCCTGACTTTAAAAAGTAAAAAATGAAATGTTGAATCATTGCGCATTCATAATTTTTATTTAATAAATTAACAAGAACCTAATAAATGTTTGGTATAGAAATTATATTTAGATTTACATTCTAAATGTGTTTGTTTTACCATCTTTCTGCAAGATTTTTTTTTTTAATATTAATTCAAATTAAATTTTTCCATTTTTTTTTCAATAAATACACTAATTTTTATTTATCTGTAAACTTCCATGATACTAATGCTAGTCTAAACCAAAGATTTTGAAAAATATTAGTACTGAAACATCCGTTGTCAACTAACATTTTCTATTTTTATCTGAAATTTTCTTCTTTCATTTTTGCTTTTCCTTGATTTCATTGGACTCTAATTTTGACTTACAATTTTCCTGCCTAATAAACTTGTCCAATATTTTAACATTTTTATTTAATTTCGTTAAATTTTTAATATTTTTTTTGCATTACTTAGGTATTAATATTTAATTAGGTACTAATTTTTTTATTTTTATTAAACTTCCTTGTAGTGTAAATTCTCAGCAAAATCTCTTGCACTAGTAAAATTTAATTTCATATATTTATCTAAGAAGCCATAAAAATAACCTGGTTTTGTGAAAAAATGGGTTCATCATCCAGCAGAGCTCAACACTTTTGAATTTAAACTCAAAAAAGAGATATTATTACAAAAAAAAAAAATATTGTTAAAGTGTATTTATTAAGATATAAAATGCAGTTTTCAAAAAATTTCAATATAACTATCCATTCGGCCCATAGCGCTTGCGAAATGAAAGCTGTGCAAAACATGGGAATGTGGCCTTTAACAACAAGACATGCCTCTCTTCAGAACGCCCAAAGAGTATAAACAATAAATACTAGGGTAGGACTATTATGGGTTTTTTGTCACAAATATCCTCCAGATGAAAACTGGACAATTTTTCATTTCAGAATTAGTCTTTTGGGCAGCATTCTAAAAAATGCAAGCCAGATGCCCAGGAACAATTGTAAAAGGATCATCAGCACAGGGATTCTTATGTACGAATTCGACATCTTACACATTGAATAAAAAAGGGGCATTACATAAGAATCGTAGTCTGTCATATGAAGATAGGTATCCAGACATATGCTGTTTTAAAACAAGAGAATCCCACTGCAGAACATTGAATTGGACCAACATACCAATTTTTAGCTTTATTCTAATATTTCAGATGTAAATCTACTCTATTTTCTGGCCTAATATGTAAATGTTTTTATAAACTACCTATGACATAATCAAATTAAAATTGGAATACGAATTAACAATCCATCTAGAAACCAAATATACTAGAATGTTGATGAGTAATTTAATTGTTATCTAGCCAAATTCTGCAAATTATAAATCAACAACAATCCTACAACATAATTATAAACTACATACTTGTGATAACAATCCAGTAACATCCTTAGCATGGTGACATCTCTAGTCCTTCTCTTGCATACCTCTTCAACAATACTCAACACTTCTACAGAGTAATTGAACAAACCTCCTTCATTGAAAAATGAACCAATTTTCAATCCAGTTTCTATGGCAATCAAATCATTAGAATCGACTTCCTGGCAGTATGTGACATATGTTTTGATAAGTAGTTGTGCTATGTTTGCACCATGGTCTATCAAGGATTGGAAACTTCTTAAAAATTTCGTCCTTTGATGTTTCACTGATATGACTCTGTTAAATACTTCTAATTCGCTAAGTTCTACAGCTAAAAGGCAGAGTCGCTTCTCCAGAAACATCTGCAAATTGGAATATTAACTACATTACTATTATTAGCTAAAAGATAAATTTCCATCTTCCAAAGCTTTAATATTATTACCGATATCCCAAGCATTGTGTACCAATATGTATTGCATAAAAATGTTTATATAAATCACAGGACAGTGACAATCTTTATAAATCTTCATAACAAAAACTATTTAAAAAAACACCAGTATATTTTCCGACATTTTTCTACAACCCAATGAAATAAGCCATTATATAAAAAACAACTTGCCTTGTAATAGAAATCAAACAATACATTATTAGGTAGAGATCTGAATTCTTTTTGGCAAAATTTACAAACGGATACACTGTCCGCTACCGCTACGTCCAGGCATAATTCGTATAGTTTTGGAGGTGTATTTAACATTTTTAATTTGTAACTATAACTTCCAAAATTGAAATCGTTTATTACACTGGGACTTAAATGTTTAGTTTATAAATTTACTAATTTTAATTTGACATGTTGACGTATGACGTAAAACAGCTGAGTGGTACGTGTAGAGATGTGTAGAGCTCGGGGGTGTAGAGATGTTATAAAAGGAACAGGAAATGTTTTTGTGAACCGTTTGATTCGATTATAAAAAAAATAGGAAGAAAAGTGTAAAAAAAAATCATAAAATCAGTGCGAGCAATGGGATACGAGCATTCATCTTTTGTTCAAGTAAACGCTTACAACTTACACAGTTTTTCATTTTAGTTTAGTTTTTTTTAATCGATGAATGTGGTTCGAACTTTGTGCCAACAATAGGCATTCAAACTTTAATTTCAAACGACCTGTTAAAATGCTGCCAGTGGGAACTGACAGTTTAGATATGGCAACCCTGTGGGCCTGTTGTCGTTGAAATCAATGACATATATAGTATAATAGACTGCTCATCCATATACAAACAAGGCGACGAAAAACGGGTCATATTGCAGTTGTTTATATTTCCTTGCCGAGTGCTCATCAGGCAGAATCGGTCTGGCTCAAATTTCATCAAAAAACATTATTGCCTGAATGTTTACTTCAAGACAGGAACTTGCATTAGGTTAGGTTAGGAAAGTGAACTTCAAAGAAAGGTTTGGATAATTTTATTGAAAATGGGAAAGGGAAAGGCAGTTATTACTATTAATAGGTATGGGAGTTTGCTCTCACCACTTTACAAAATTGGATTTCATCCATCCAGGTTTGTAATTTTTTAATAGAATTTTTATTATTATTAATTTATATTGTTATATTTCTAATATGAGTTGTTTGATCTGGTAATTAATGTTCTGTAGGTCTAAACAAGAAGAAACATATGCTTCCCAGCTAGCACCGACACGTGATTTTCACGTGAAATACACAGCACATTTTACGTCGAAATCACCAATTTATGACGTGCTAGTGACGTGATTATGACGGCAATATGTCACAGATCAAAGACGTCATACAGTGACGTGATAAACACGTCACCAGATAACGTGTTTAGACGTCAAAAAAACACCATAATATTCATTTAAAAATGTTTAATTTGTAAAAAAATGTTTATAAAAACGTTTTATTTAAAAAATGTTTAACAAAAATATGTTTTATATAAAAAAAGATAGGTTACTACATAAAATTTCTGAATTGAAACATAGTATACTAACCTGAACTATTACTAAATAAACATTACTTCTTAGAATATGTACTTAGAATGTATAAATTACAAAAGATTATATAGCAGTGTCCAGATATTCAACAGATCATTCCGAATATACAGGCTTGAAGCAGCTTCAATGGTATCCTTATTAAATTTTCGTTTCACTAAAACAAAAATAAAATAGTTATAACTACCAGAAACTTAATTATTTAAGTAAAATTTGAGCCAAAAAATAGAGTTAGCATTGACCGAGAAAGACAGAAATTGTTTTATATCATTAAGCTGTCACAAAAGTGATATATTTGATGGTTCACAAATTTAACAAGATAAATAAAATCAGATCTGTCAAGAGAAATCAATGAAAAAATTTAATATGCGCCTGGCTAAAGAGTACTAGATGCTCCTAGCTAACACAAAATTTAGTATTTCTTCATGGGTCAAAAACCTAATATTTTAATAATAATTTTATGATGCTAAGTTTTAAAGTGATGTAAAATTGTGAATTTTAAACCAGGTTAACCTGACTTTTTTATAATTAATGAAATGAAGAAATGTTATTATTTTTACAAGGTATATATTAATAAGAGGAAAAATTATTTTACCCCCAAGCTCTTTTGAATGTAAAGGTGAGATTTTTAATAATTGTGAAAAATAATTATTGACATTTGAAGAAAAAAATGTTCGGAATAAAAGAAATGTACTAAAATAAGTTTTGCTAGACAAAGAGTGCTTACCTACCAATAGGTTCATCATCAATAACGAATTCATCATCTTCACTTGAAAATATTCTTCTTAATGGCTTTCTTTTACAAGGAAGAGGTTGTAACTCATCATCACTTGTTATATCCTATGTCATAAGAACCTTTGTTTCTTTTTGGCTAGCTATTTGGTAATTCTCTAAAACAGATTATAAATTTTATACACTATACTTTTTTAAATAAATAAAACGGCTCACAGAGATGGTTTACGAAATACTATAACTATAATAGGTCTCAGTTACCAACAAAAATTCAAAAAAATATAATATCAAGGTATATAATGCAAAATAATTTCATAAAACAATGTAATTAAAACCACAGTACATATAGGGAAAGGTTTTAGTAATAATACATAGACCAGTGTTTTAATTGTCTAAAGGTGAGTTTAGTCAGCTTGATTTAGTTTCAACATAAAAGTTATCAATTTATTTCAATGTACCTGTTTATACAGAATAACATAGGCATCAACATTAACATAGTAAAGATAAATAAAAATCAACTTTATGCTCAAATCTTAGGAATGTGTATGTTTAAATTATCTTTATGAACGGTTTTGTTTTAAAATCCTTAAATTTTTGTTTATATTAATGTCTACGTTAATAGTTAAAACAAAATTAGGCTAGCTACAGGCACCTTTACAATATAAAAAATCACTCACCTTCGGTAAAATATGTTCTATAAATAGGAAAGAGTCCAATTTTTTCCTTTTTTAAGCTCTTGTTAAAAGATTATTGTTGTTTATAAGAACCTCATTTCCCAGGATGTCGGCCACTTAGAACTTAAAGTGGTTTAACAATACTCCGGTGCCGTGCTTGTCGGCGTATTGAATTCCTATAAACATACTAAAAATAAACAATAATATCGCACTAAACTTCCTAACTACTTACCTTCAAAACACATACAAAATTATACAATAAAAGAATGTTCCAAACACAAGTTACAAAAATAACACAAAATGGCGTGAACCGCTAACCTTGGACAATGACATGACAGCTGACATTTCTAAACAGTGTTGACATAAAATTTTATTTAAAAATGAAAATTCCCAAAAATCCCTAGATTTAAAATGAGAATCATAAATTTATTATAAACACTGAAGATACTTTTATTAATAAATAGAATGTAAAACAATAAAAGTATAGAATCGACGTGTACACGTGCGCAGTTTAACGCCTCATTTCAGAACGTGACAAACTAGTCCCTAAATAACGTTATAGTACGTCTTATTTTGGTGACATAATGACCGCAAAATAAACGATGTTGTATAAATTACCTTCTATTTATCTAATAATGAATAACAGAAACTCGAATTGCATTTATGACATAAATAGGTGTATTTTGTTCGCAACAACTGTGTTTACGTGTTAAATTGGTCCGAAAATGACGTCATTATTACGTTACTTTTGCGTCAAAAAATCACATCGACGTATTTGACCAAAATTCAACGTGATTATGACGTGAAACGACGTCCGGTGCTAGCTGGGTTGTGTCTCTTGCAATACCTATAGTTTAAATTTGTCTAACTTAAGCCGTTACATTGATAGAAAGAAAAGGAATCCAGCAAAAACAAGAGTTATGGCTACTGTCAATAATAATATAATAATCATGTTGCCAGTACTAGTAGAATCTCAAGTGTTGAGTTATCTTCTTCAGCCAATGAATATAGGTATGTATAATTTAAAATGTATGGTTAATTATTATAAGCTTAATGTGTTTTTGCAGGTAATGAACATATCTGCTAGTGAAGCAGACAATGAAGATATGTGTGCTGCTGGAAGAGCTTTGCTTAATTTACAAAACTTTTTTGTAAAGCAGAAAATTTGGATCGATTGTACAACACAAGTGAAGAGTAGTGATATTTAGTTGAAACGTTTTCAAACAGAATTGTTAGAACTATCTACTTTAACAGGATTGCAATCTTTCCAGTTATTAGAAACCATTGTGAAATTAGTGGCAGGAGTTGTTTCTAAAGAATAAGAAATAGAGAACAGTTGTTTGTGAAGGATCAAGATATATTTAATTTTATGAATTTGAAAACTAGTATGCGAGATATATCTTATCTATGTTATTGGGAGTTAATGAAACTTTTTGTCATTTAATTTTTCAGGAGTGTTTAATAAAACAGGCAAAAGTTCTTCAGTATGGTATAATATTTGGCATTCAAACAGTAAGAGTACTACTTTGATTGTACCTAAATCCCACTACAGCAAGCCAAATGTCTTTGTTGTAGGCTAAAAAGTTATTCAAAGTACAAAATGAGGCATAATATTAAAATAATGACTGGAGTGTCATCTGCTGGTCTTATTACTTACATAAGTAAAGCGGGTCCCGGAATTTTGTTCCAAGTAATTTTGTTCGAAAACATTTCGTTTGAAAGTTATTTAGTCTGAAAACATTTTGTTCGAAAGTTATTTAGTTCGAATATCTAATTTGAAAAATATCCTTCCTAGACAAATGTAGTGAATTTCGAACATGACTTTGTAAAGTCGAAAGTTCTCGTTTATTTTTAACAATTATTTATACACACTATGATATGTGCCTATTTTTTTAGCTCTATAAGTCAAATTTATAGGAAAATAGAGCTTCTGATATAATGTACTTAAAAATTGCTCCGTTTGATCTGTTAAATGTTTGTTGAACTAAAACTAATTGAAAAAAGATGAATATTATTTTTATTGAAATTTAATTTTTGTCAAAGTTAGTTTAAAAAAGCTTTAATAGTTCCAGGCTGCACAGATTAAGTAAATTAGTATTGTCATTTTATGTAAAAAATTATTGCGAAACCACTCGCGATGGCTCCATGCCGTGCAGGTTAGGTAAATTAGTTAAATTTTTATGTTATGTAAAGAATGTTTGCGAAGTTACTCGCGATATCTCCAAGCAGTGCCGGGTTAGGTAAATTGGTTAAGTTTTGTTTTCTCATTTTATGTAAAAAAAAATCCAAGCTACCCGCAATGGCTCCAGGCCGTGCAGGTCAGGTAAATTAGTTAGGTTTATTACTTTAA